CCCCTGAGGGCCGCCAGCCCTTCGGAGGTCTGATGCCTGCAGGCTCCCCCAGTCCAGGGCCAAGTAACTGAAAAAGATGGTGGTGCCCCTCCCCACCATGGGGATGTGGCGGACACAGCTGTCAGGATGCCACCCGCCTGGCAAATGGTACAGCACCCCTACCCAGGGCATCGCCCACACGCCCACACCACGGGTACCTGAGTAGAAGGCGGCGCTGAAGGCGTATATGCACATGCCCCAGCAGCCCATGGTGACGCCGCTGTTGTACCTCTGGTACTCCTCCGACGAGTGCGGGGCCTTGGGGTCCCCCTGGAAGACCACCTCGCCCATGAAGTCCGTGTAGAAAAGCAGCATCCCCTCGAACGAGAGCCACCCTGGAAGGACAGAACGGGCATGACCGCGGGGGCCCAGGCCGGTGCACCCTTTCTTTAACCAGTGTGATCTGCCCACGTGGCTTTTACAGGTTCAGAAGTTAAAGCACCTTTCATGACAGCCTCACGCCCAGAGACAGGCCCCGGTCAAACGGTGGGCTTGTTGCCAGTCTTGCATGTTATGATTTTATTTTATTTTTGAGCTGGGGTCTCACTCTGTTGCCCAGGCTGGAGGGCAGTGGCCTGATCATGGCTCACTGCAGCCTCAACCTCCTGGCCTCAAGCGATCCTTCCGCCTCATCCTCTCGAGTAGATGGGGCTACAGGCACGTGCCACCATGTCTGGCTAACTCTGTTTTTTGATTTTTTTTTTTTTGTCGAGAGAGGGTTTCACTATGTTGCCCAGGCTGATCTCAAACTCCTGACCTCAAGCAGTCCTTCCACCGAGGCCTCCCAAAGTGCTGGGATTACAGGCATGAGCTGCCATGCTGGGCCTGCACATATATTCTTGATACTGACTCTGATTTGGGCTGGCATGGAATGCCAAGTTAGATCACCAGGATAAAAGGTACAGATGCTTTAAAGACTCTCGTCTGCTGAGAGTCCTGGATTATCTCAAATTCTTTTTTTTTTTTTTTGAGCTGGAGTCTCACTCCGTCGCCCAGCCTGGAGTGCAGTGGCCACTCCCGGCCACCGCAACCTCGACCTGCTGGGCTCCGGCAATCCTTCCGCCTCAGCCTTCCAAGTACCCGGAACTACAGGCGTGCGCTACCACGCGAGGCTAATTTTTTGATTTATTATAGAGATGAGGTCTTGCCAAGTTGCCCAGGCGGATCTCAAACCCGCGGGCTCAGGCAATC